GGGCAGTGGGGGGAGGGATGGACGGCAGAGGATGGGGGAGGGAGGTAGCGGGGGGAGGGAGGGACAGCAGAGGATGGGGAAAAGGGGCAGCGGGGGGAGGGAGGGGCAGCAGAGGATGGGGGAGGGAGCAGCGGAGGAGAGGGGAAGGGACGGCAGAGGACTGGAGAGGGAGCAGCGGGGGGGAGGGAGGGATGGCAGAGGGGGCCAGCGGGGGGGTCCATGGATGGCTGATGACACCCCCCTCCCCTGCAGGGCAAACACTGCATCCTGGACGTCTCGGCCAACGCCGTGCGGCGGCTCCAGGCCGCCCAACTCCACCCGATCGCCATCTTCATCCGGCCCCGGTCCCTGGAGAATGTCCTGTGAGTATGGGGGCTGGGGGCGGAGTCTGAGATGGTGGGGGCGGGGGTCTAGGTGGGATCAGGGGGCGGGGTCTGAGATGATTGGGGCAGGGTCTAGGTAGGATGTGGGGTCTGAGATGATTGGGGCGGGGGATCAGGGGGCGGGGTCTGAGATGATTGGGGGCGTGGTCTAAGTGGGCTGTGGGGGTGGGGTCTGAGATAATTGGGGCGGGGTCTCTAGCACTCTGCCCCAGCCGGCGGCCGCCAGTGGGCGCTGGCGGGTGAGCGTGGGCTGGGCGGCTTCGCACCCGTCCTGGGTTCTGCGTCCCGCAGCCCATGGGGCCGAAATCCCCCCCCCCTTCGTTATCCCCGAGGCCTTTAATCGCCCCCTTTTGGGGGGGGCAGGCAGGAGCGAAGTCTGACGGGTGTCCATGTGTGTCCCCCCCACACACAGGGAGATCAGCAAGCGGATAACGGAGGAGCAGGCGCGAAAAGCCTTCGACCGAGCCATCAAACTGGAACAAGAATTCACAGAGTGCTTCTCGGGTAGGTGTTGTCCCCCCCCCGACCCCCCCAGCTTCCCGGGACGTTCCCGCTGTCCCAAACTCCTGGGACGGGGGGACACGGAGGCCGCCGGCTCCCATGGGCGTCCTCAGATCCGGGGCGGAGATTTCCCCAGCCTGGGTGGGTTCTCCGGGGCTGGACGGTTTTTTCCCCACCCCATCTCGCCCCGTTCATGGGCGCCGACATTTTTCGGCGCCGGTGGGGGCTCACGCCCGCCCCTGCCCCAAAGCCCCCGCCCCAAATCCGCCCCTCCCTGTCCCATTGGATCCCTCATGGGAGGAGGCGGAGGTGAGCTGGGACGGGGGGGACGCAGCAGGGAGCTGCCTGTGGGTGCCCCGGCCCTATTGACCCTGTGCCGTGTGTCCCCCCCGCAGCCATCGTCGAAGGCGAGAGTTTCGAGGAGATCTACCACAAAATCAAACGGATTATCGAGGAACTTTCGGGGCCGTACATCTGGATCCCGGCCCGGGAGAGACTTTAGGGACCTCCCCGTTCGGTGGGAACTGCGGCCCGACCCAGAACTGAGCCGTTCGCTTTCTTTTCGGGGAGGAGGTTTCGGGGGCGGGGGGGGGAAGGGATCCGGTCTATTTCTTTCTTCTTCTCCTTTCTGGGTTTTTTTTTTCTCGCAATCCTTCGCCTGGCTCCTTCCCCTCCCCCCTCCAGCCAAGATCCGCTCCCGTCTCTTTGCACCCAGGAAAAGCGCTCTGTGCATGCTTGTATTTTTTCGAGAGGTGTTGGCTTGTGACGTCTGCGCTTCTGGCATTTTGCTTTCGATCCCCCCCCGTCCGCCCCCCATCCCCATCAGATCCGGACCCTGGGATCCAATCGAGGAGATGCGTGAAGGACCGGAAAGGGGGCGGAGGAGAAGAAAGGAACGAAACGCACCGAGAAAAAATGAAGAGAAGGGTGGAGCAAAAGCGCGTCTCTGGAGGATCGGAAAACCGGATTTCTTGGGCAAAAACTATTCCGCCCGCCGAGATGAAAGGACACCCGGTTTCTTTTCGGAGTGGAATCGACCCCAGATTTGGCGCGTTCTTTGGAGGGGAAAACGAGCGGCGTGGAAGAATAAAGCAGGGAAAACGGATTAAAAAACAACCAACTGCTTTGAGGCTCTTTATTTATTTTTTGCTTTCCCGGCCGGGGACAGAGGAGAAAATAACCCACGATCCTCCTTTATCTTTCTACCCACCCGAAGGGAAACTTTCTTTTTAAACCAACGCGGGAAGGCGCGTCGGCGAGAGACACCCGATGGCCCTGTCTCCAAAAGGCAGGCGCTTCGCCCCTCTCCCCCCGCCCGTGATGTTTCCAGACGGATCGGACCCATTCTTTTCCTTTCCTTTTTCTTTCTCAGTACGGTTCATCTCCTTCCCTTTTCGGCGCATGGTGGCTTTAAAAAAACCAAACAAACGAAAAAGCAACAGGAAAACGTGACAAAAAAAATGAGCATTTTGCTGTTCGGCAATTTCTATTTTTCGTTCCGGGCGGAGAAAAGACTCGTGGGGGGGGGGGTCCGAAACACATTTTCGACGTTCTGTGAATATTTCTTTTTTTCTTGGGGTCATAGCGAGTATTTCGGTCTGGCTGTGCGTGATTGTATGAAACTGGGGATGGGTGGGCGGGGAGATGTCAGACGGTCCTTCCTTTTCTCGTTACAGGCATTTTCGTTGGGACATGTTCTTAATTATGACGATGCTGCTTTCTTTCTTTCTTTTTTTTTTTGTATATAAACTCCAGCTGGCCACAGAGACCCTTGCTAGAAAAAAGACCTACCGGTGAATTTGGGGTGAATTTGGGTATGGGGTTGCCCCCCTCCCTCCTGCCCCGGGGCAAGGGGGAAAGGCGGGGGGGAGAAAAGAAAGGGGTAAGGGATGATCAGTAGGTACCGAGAAACAGGACCAGCTGAGTATCATGGTGAGAGCGGGGTGGGGCTGGGAGCCAGGACTCCTGGGTTCTCTCCCCGGCTCTGGGAGGGCAGTGGGGGCTGGTGGTTAGAGCAGAGGGGCCTGGGAGCCAGGACGCCTGGGTTCTCTCCCTGGCTCTGGGAGGAGAGTTGCGTCTCGTGGTAAGAGTAGAGGAAGATGGGAGTCAGGACTCCTGGGTTCTCTCCCCGCCTCTGGGAGGGGAGCAGGGTCTGGTGGGTTAGAGCGGGGGGGGGGGCTGGGAGCCAGGACTAATGGGTTCTCTCCCGCAAATGCACTTTCTTGGCCTCTGCAGTCACCATAACCCATCCCCAGGGCGGCGCTGTTTGCAGTTAATACCCCCAGGACAGCCGGACAGCCGGACGCCCCTCCACCCCTCCCCAAGTCAGGAGACAACTGACCAGCCAGCCTCCCGTCACCCTGGGCCCCGTCTCTCCTGTACTTCACGCGGGTGAAGCAGGAAGCATTTGGGGGCGGGCAGGAATTCCCCCCTGGGGGCGCATTGACCTCTGGGGCTGTTTCAGGTATAGCGACTGGGGGGGTCTCTTTCCTACAGGGGTCTGGGAATGGGGGAGGGGGGGAGAAAAGAATATTTTGCATAGAAATATTATTACCACCGGCAGAGAATTAAAACGGACAATATATATATATATATATATATCTACCCAATCGTTTCACACTGTGACTTTATATTTGCATACAGAGAGACAGAGCTGGATGTGATTGTACTGGGGGGCTGGGAGCCAGGACTCCTGGGTTCTCTCCCCGGCGCTGGGAGGGGAGCGGGTGCTGGTGGGTCAGAGCAGGGGGGTCTGGGAGCCAGGACTCCTGGGGCCTCCCCCCGGCGCTGGGAGGGGAGTGGGGGCTGGTGGGTTAGAGCGGGGGGGCTGGGAGCCAGGACTCCTGGGTTCTCTCCCCGGCTCTGGGAGGGGAGCGGGGGCTGGTGGGTTAGAGCAGTGGGGGCTGGGAGCCAGGACTCCTGGGTTCTCTCTGCAGCTCTGGGAGCAGCAGTGTGGCACTGTAGCCACCACGAAGGTAAGGGGCCCTATTGGCCCCCAGGGGTCTCTGCCTGGCTGGGAACGTGCCTCCCCCAAAGTCTGGGCTAGGCTGGGGGCTCCTCCCCTCCACCCTCCACCCACGTTGTCCCAACTATAATACTTCCTGCCCCCGACCCCCTATGTCTGACCTGGGGAGGGGGAACTGTATATTTTTGAGGGCGTGGGGGGGGGAAGTGTTCCAGGGTCTGGGCGCCCTCCCCATCCTGCTGGTCAAGGATTGAGGAGGGAGACAGAACTAATGAGCTTGGCATGGAGGGGGGATTGCACCAGTTGGGGGCAGATGGGCCCAGATTTTGGGGGGGAGACTCCCCAGAGCCCATTGACCACAGTTTGGGAGGGTGTGTGTGGAGAGACTGGGGGGGAAGGGTTTGGGGTTCTGGGGTATCACGTGGCTCCCCTCCCTCACCCCAAACAGCGAACACTACCCCCAATGCTCTGCCCTCAGCATAACCCCAACAACCAACCGTAACCCCCACTGCTCTACCCTCACTGTAACCCTAACAACCAACCCTACCCCCAATACTCCGCCCTCACTGTAACCCCAACACCCAACCCTACCCCCCAGTGCTCCGCCCTCACGGTAACCCAAACAACCAATTGTGCCCCCAATGCTTGACCCTCACCGTAACCCAAACACCCAGACCTACCCCACAATGCCCTGCCATCACCGTAACCCTAACAGCCAACCCTACCCCCAATGCTCTGCCCTCACCGTAATCCCAACAACCAACCGTACCTCACAATACTGTGCCAACATTGTAACCCAAACACGCAACCCTATGCCCCAATCCTCTGCTCTTACCGTAACCCCAACATCCAACCCTACCCACCAATGTTCTGCCCTCGCCGTAACCCGAACACCAACCCAACCCCACAATGCTCTGCCCACATTACAAACCCAACAACCAAACCTATTCCTCAATTCAATGCTCTGCCCTCACAGTAACCCTAAGAACCAACCCTACCACCAATGCTCTGCCCTCACCACAACCCCTACCGCCAACCCTATCCCCGAATGCTCTGCTGTCACTGTAACCCGAACACCTTACCCTAGCCCCCAATGCTCTGCCCTCACCGTAACCCCAACACCCAACCCTACCCGCAGTGCTCTGTCCTCACCGTAACCCCAACAGCCAACCCTACCCCCAATGCTCTGCACTCACCATAACCCCTACAATCAACCCTACGCCAGTATGGTCTGCCATCACCGTAATTCCAACAACCAAACTTCCCCCCAATGCTCTGCCACTACCATAACCATAAAACCCAATCCGACCGCCCAATGCTCTGCCCTCACCGTAACCCCAACATTCAACCCTACCCAATTATGCTCTGCCCTCACCGTAACCCCAACAGCCAACCCTACCCCCAATACTCTGCCCTCACCGTAACCCTAAGAACCAACCCTACCCTCCAATTCTCTGCCCTCAACGTAACCGCAACAACCAGCCCTACCCCAAATGCTCTGCCTTCACCAAAACCCCAACATCGAACCGTACCCCCAATACTCTGCCCTCACCGTAATCCCAACACCCAACCCTGCCCCCCAATGCTCTGCCCCCGTTGTAACCCCAACAACCAACCCTACTCCCCAATGGTCTGCCCTTGCCGTAACCCCAACAACCAACCCGACCCTCCAATGCTCTGCCCCCACCGTAACCCCAACAGCCAACCCTATGCCAGAATGCTCTGCGCTCACCATAACCCCAACACCCAACCCTACCCCCAATGCTCTGCCCTCACTGTAAACCCAACCCCCAACACTACCCCACACTGCTCTGCACTCAACGTATCCCTAAGAACCTACCCTACCCTCCAATGCTGTGCCCACATTGTAACCCCAACACCCAACCCTACCCTCAATGCTCTGCCCTCACCGTAACCCTAAGAACCAACCCTACCACCAATTCTCTGCCTTCATCGTAACCTCAACAACCAACCCTACCCCAAATGCTCTGCCCTCACCATAACCCCAACACCCAACCCTACCCGCAGTGCTCTGCCCTCACCGTAACCCCAACCCCCAACACTACCCCCCACTGCTCTGCCCACATTACAAACCCAACAACCAAACCTATTCCTCAATCCAATGCTCTGCCCTCACAGTAACCCTAAGAACCAACCCTACCGACCAATTATCTGCCCTCATCGTAACCGCAACAACCAACCGTACCCAAAATGCTCTCCCCTCACCATAGCCCCTACAATCAACCCTACGCCAGAATGCTCTGCCCTCACCGTAACCCCAACAATCAACCCTACGCCAGAATGGTCTGCCATCACCGTAATCCCAACAACCAAACCTACCCCCAATGGTCTGCCACTACCATAACCATAACACCCAACCCGACCGCCCAATGCTCTGCTCTCACCGTAACCCGAACACCAACCCAACCCCACAATGCTCTGCCCACATTACAAACCCAACAACCAAACCTATTCCTCAATCCAATGCTCTGCCCTCACAGTAACCCTAAGAACCAACCCTAGCGCCCAATTCTCTGCCCTCATCGTAACCGCAACAACCAACCCTACCCAAAATGCTCTGCCCTCACCGTAGCCCCTACAATCAACCCTAGGCCAGAATGCTCTGCCCTCACCGTTACTCCAACAACGATCCCTATGCCAGAATGCTCTGCCCTCACCATAACCCCAACAACCAACCCTACCCCATACTGCTCTGCACTCAATGTAACCCTAAGAACCTACCCTACCCTCCAATGCTGTGCCCACATTGTAACCCCAACACCCAACCCTACCCTCAATGCTCTGCCCTCACCATAACCCTAAGAACCAACCCTACCACCAATTCTCTGCCCTCATCGTAACCTCAACAACCAACCCTACCCCAAATGCTCTGCCCTCACCGTAACCCCAACACCCAACCCTACCCGCAGTGCTCTGTCCTCACCATAACCCTAACAGCCAAACCTACCCCATACTGCTCTGCACTCAATGTAACCCTAAGAACCTACCCTACCCTCCAATGCTGTGCCCACATTGTAACCCCAACACCCAACCCTACCCTCAATGCTCTGCCCTCACCATAACCCGAAGAACCAACCCTACCACCAATTCTCTGCCCTCATCGTAACCTCAACAACCAACCCTACCCCAAATGCTCTGCCCTCACCGTAACCCCAACACCCAACCCTACCCGCAGTGCTCTGTCCTCACCATAA